ACTAAATTAATTGGTGAATTGTTGTAATTATTGTCGTTAATAGACTAATAGTGCTGAAAATCAAAGGGATGATTGTAGAAAATCATGAGGTTAGTATGCTAATTAATATGTGAAGCTAAGGTAACAACTACAATACGTGTAATAGGTTTGAATCGAATGAATGTATGTTGAGCACAAAGGAAAGGTTAGCAACTGAGGACTGAATACTCTACATAACTTATAATTTTCTAGGTATTACAATAATAATGTAATGAAGAATAAGGTTTGTACTTATATTAATTTTTATAATACTCGGTAATTATTGTTTTCTTTAACATAGAAATCAATAAAGAAGCAGAAAGTATACATAGTTTATCAGTCACCTCTACATAAAGGTATAACTTCTTCATGTTGGTATTGTATTATTGTATTTACTTTTTTTAGTCATAACTCATGAGACAAAGGCTAATCGATGAAGCAATTCAAGACAGAAAACAATAGATAACTTATTTTATTTTTTGTGATTTTTAATATTAAATTTAAAATTATTATAGTGATTAATTAATAGTAATAACAATGAATATATAATGAGTTCAGTCATGAATCACTCCCGTATACGGAGTGATACAGGAAGATTTACAGAATGTAGCTATCCCGTAGCTACGGTGATGATATTGTAATTGCCAAAAGTTGGTGTATCTTAAAGATATACGGTATCTGATACATAACTGATATCTTAACTGATACAGAAAAAAATTCTTGGCTGTGTACACAAATAATGTTGATAACACCTCCGCTGCGGGATACATTGCATTTGTATCCCTAGGGGGGGGTGTTATAACGTTTACTTGTAAAATACAAAAATACAGCTTATTGGTTAAAAAGGCATTTTCAAACTTACACAGAAATTTGAACGTTTTATCAATACAGTACATGTAAAATGTTTCATATTTCTTACCACTGTTTATAAGGTAACTTAATAACTAGCTCCACCCACTCAGGGAGACCAAATTGTGCATTGTATGGGAGAGAAGACATTAACAGGTTTCTTGTTGCTATGAGAGGTTTCACCGTTTCACAAAGATAAACGAAACAATATTCCTTTTTTACAAACTGAATGAACAGAGTTCTACAGGAACATTAACAATTATAATAATTAATAAACTGACTATTGTTTGATGGAATTAAATTATTATTATTGTTATACTTAGATCTACATCTATATTAAGTGTTGGTAGTTTACTGTTCCTGCAGTGAGTCTTTATTTTTTATCCTGCATGCATTCAATTTACTAATGTCACTGTGAGGTCTGGTTGTGCTATGGGCGTGGTAGCTCATGCATGGGTGTGGCTATTACAAAATATTTTGGGGTGTAGCTCGTTTTCAGCAGCAAAATTTTCTCTTGTTCTCATCTAGTCTCGCTTAGTTCTCATCTTGTAATGGCCTCCATCATGATCACAGATACCACCATTCTTGGTTAGTAATAATATTATTTCTGTTTCTCTAATCCCTATCTTTAGATATCACACATCTTGATTTAGTCCTGTCAAAGTTGGAACATTTTTCTAAAGCCAAATGGAAAATTTTTGGTCT